AACGATCGTTCGAAAACTCCCGAAAATTTTTACAACTCTTACTAACGTGACTAAGAAAATAATTAAAGAAGAATTTCATGAAGAAAATTATGTGTACGTTTATAATATATTTATTTAACGCGTTAAATACCGTAGTGGTAAATAATGCTCAATCTTGTAGACTTTATTTAGAATACATTTTAAAAACTTTTTTTTCATTTGAAAGTATATGAAAACAAATTGAAAATATTGAAAGTATATAAAATCTAATATGAAAATTATGAAGATGTGAATGTTTCTGTATATTTTATCTACTATTTATATATAATATCAAAAAATATATTTTACCTAATAAAAATCTTTACCTAATAAAAGTCTAATATATAATATATGACAATGAATCATTTTATCTGAATCTTTTATTTACTATTTTTATCTAATATCTAAAAATATATTTACTAATAAGAGTAGTCTAATATAAAAGCCATACAAGTGAATTTTTCTGTATTTTTAATCTAAACAAAGTTATGAAAGATAAATATTCGATAAATAGAAGAATTTGTGCAAAATCGTTTCTATATTCAAATGTGTTAAGAAGAAAATCCGGATTAAATTTATCAATTCAATCTACAGTTTACGACATATTATTATCATTACGAATGAATGGAAACGAAAATGCAAGCTGGCAAGGTTAACCACAGTACGATCGTAGTCTGGTAATTTCGGATGGCTGTATATACTGCTTCATATTCATCGTATATGTATGAGTGAGAGAGAAAGAGAGAGTGAATGTATATGTTCTGGTCTAGTTACCATGTATCAGTTAGAATTCTGAACCATTAATTGGAAGGTTGTAGGATTAAATAATTCTCTCTCTATGATGACATATAATTTTTGCTCTTTAAACATAAATTTCAAGGATCAAATTATATATGAGAATAAGATACGATAATAATTTAAATAAGACTTATAATAATAATAGTAAAATAATAATAATCTAGTACAAAAGTAGTACAAGCTGTTGCCCATGCAACTCGAACGATGGGTTTAAAAATTTCTCGCGGCTCGTATATTTGGAGAGGACCGAAAAAGCAAAGGCAGTCTGTCGAATTTACTATTGGCCTTGCCAAATTTGTCCTGGTTTCTTCTTGCATACCTTGCGTCTTCGTAAGCCGATCAGCGCGAATTTTACCAATAAAAAATTACAATATATGCCTTGATTGCCGTTTTTTTAAGTCCAATGCCAAAGATCAAAAGAAAGAAAGGAAAAGAAAAGAGAAAGAAAGATAATATTTATTCATACGTACACTACATCAAAGATTTTAGAACAACTCAAAATTTATCTTCAAATATATTCTATTATTTATCGTTTTGTTTTCTAAAACAAAGGTACCTACATTTAATTTAAATTACAATTTATACTCCGTAGATATAGCGATTTCGTTCCGGTGAATAATCATAGCAATAACCAAACCACCATTGCATTGATATGCCGTTACGAATTATCGTGTGAAATGTTCTAGGTTGAAATACATTGTAATGGCAGCAGGAGAAACAGGAAAGCTTATTTTAACGAGCATTTCGTAACTTCATCCAGTTATCATCATTTCTATATATACATATAGATATAGTTGATTAAGTTGTACATTAAAAAATATCGGAATGATTGATATGCTATTCACTTAGTTTTCAAATATAAAAAAAGGAAAATAAATATGACTAAGACGAGTCGTTTCAACTGAATCAACTGAATAGTTCAAAACTGAAAAAAGAAAATTAAATTAAACGATTTTTATTTTAACTATTTTATCGTTATCTTTATTATTTTTATTATCAAGATCAAGAGAGTATTAGAATGATAAGATAATAATTCCATCCAATTTGCGACTATGTTTATATAAACATCGATTAAATTGTATATTATTGAAAACTATCGGTCCAATGTTGTTAATTTCGCTTTTATAGTAGAAAAGGAAAAAAAGAAAAAACAAATGTGATAAAACGAGTTGTTTCGTAAAAATAAATATTGAAAACAAAACATGAGAAAATGATTTCTATTTTAATTATTTTATCGTTATTATCGTTTATATTATCAAGGCAAAGAGAGTAGGATTATTAAAAGATAATAAGTTAATAATTCCATTCAATTTATACTGTTTTTATATACACATACAGATATATAGTCGATTAAGTGGTCTACTATTAAAAAATATCGGACATTGTTCATTTCTTTTTAAAATTGAATAGAATAGAAGAAAACAAGAAAGAAATGATTAAAAATTGGAAGAAAAATATTAGATGGAACGATTTTTATTTTAACTATTCTATCGTTATTATCGTTATTTTTCATTATCGAGGCCAAGTGAATAGTAGGATCGTTAGAAGATGATAAGATAATGCGAAAGAAAGATAATATCGATCTTCCAGTCGAGTTTATACGGTTCGCGTTCTTCAGACTCGCCGAAAGAAATTCACTCCCATTATTCTAGTTTAGATAAAACCGTAACGGCGTTGCGGCTCGACAATGGCCTTAGTCATTTTTATTTCCGCTCGGGATACCGGACGTTACATTAGCTAACGTCTAGAACGCGTTTCTTTAGTTCCGCAAGTAATTCATACAAATCGATTTGAGTACCGTGTCTCGAATTTAGAAGAAAGATAAGGTAAAAAGAAAAGACAAACATAATAAATATCGTTAAGTTTGAAAAGAGAAAAACCAAGAAAAAAAAGAGAGAGAGAGAGATTAAAAGACGCTTCCTTTTTATTTTTATCGTTTATCTTCATTGTTATCGTTATCACCCGTGAAAATATACGACTTGGGATAGAAGAAAATGAGAGAAGGATGTAAGTACATATAATAATAAAGAAAAAAAAAGAAGTAATAAAACGAACGTAAAAAGTTTAAAGAAAAAATCTCCCCTCGCTAATACGCTTTGAGAAAATTCCAGCCCTGAAGCTTGAAAGCTTTAGTCGTACATACCCCCACTTTCTTTCTACCACCACTACTATTTCTCTCTCTTTCTCTCTCTCTCTCTCTCTCTCTCTCTCTCTCTCTCTTTCTCTCGCTCTAGCAAGCGCGTTTACGCAAGCAGGCCACCCAGAATCCCAGAAGAGGAGCGCTGACGTCCTGGGACATTTCCCGGATTTTTCAATCGATATTGCGCCGAGTCCCGTGACGTCACGGGAGTAGCCGTGACGCCCGCAAGTGGCCGACGCATGCGTACTCGAGCACTGGGTTAATAGGTTAGCTTATCGATTAGCAGGTCGTCCCACGGTACAACGGAAAGACTCTCCTCTCTTTCCTCTTCCTCTCTTTCGAAAGGCATTTTATCCATCCATCTTATGAAACAGCCAGAGTAATGATGAATTACTGAATAATCGTTCTAATTCGTTTATATTTATAAAACAATAGGATTTTATTAAATAGATGTTAAATATAGGTAAATCTGATATTTATATTAAACATTCTACACTGAGATTTAACTGAACTGTCTTTTACTAATTTCTAATATCTTAATATTTTATTAATATCTCATGTATTTCTCAGTTACATACGCGTATACTTTGAAGGCAATTTTTCAATAAAATTGATTCTTACTGATTTGTTTTATTAACTGAATGAAATGATACGTTAGAGGTGACTCAAGAGTTCTTAGGAATAATACAATTGTCACATTAGCATTGACCTCATAATACAAATAGATAAATAACTTTCTCTATACTGAAAGAAGTATTTTGAATTTTGTAAATATTCTATAGAGAAATGAATAAGTACTTTTCTCTTTCTATCACAAATATACACACATATGTTCTGATCTTTCTGAATAATCTTTTTTCATCATTCTATTTAAAAAAAAATATCGCCGCTATTATGTTTCAAATACATTGTACACATATTGAAATCTCGTAAACAAGAACGGAAAATATGCGATATTTTCCCATGTGTCTCTCTTTCTTATAATATGTCAAAAGTCAGTTGCCAAAAATACTCTTAAAACAGGCCTACCAAAATAGTGGCGCATTCGTCGGTAGAGAAAGAGAGAGAGAGAAAGAGAGAGAAGATGAGTATACACATACTGACAGTACGGCGTTTTATTCTGGTACACGGTATTCAGACGTATCCGAATTGGAGAAGGAAGAGAGACAAGAAAATCTAATAATTGCGTTTCTCTCTCTCTCTCTCTCTCTCTCTATCTATCTATCTCTCTTTCTCTCTTTCTCTATCTTCAGCGAGGTATAAAAATATACTTCCTCACTTCGGCATACCTTCGCCAAAAAAGCACCACTAAGAATGGAGTCAAATTACTTTCTGGAGTCGATAGATCTTAATTTTACGATAATCTAAGCGTGAATTAGTTTTCTCTTTCTATTATTCCTATCGATTTGAAAGATTCTTCTACATAGAAAGACAGTAAATCTGTAGATATATCGATATATCGAGGATATTCAAATCTGTGCCAAAGGAACAAATAATCTATATTATATAATCGATTTAAGATTAGATTAATAAACAAGTCTTGTACAACCTCTTGAAGAGAACAAAAGTAAAGACGGGAAGATAGCGAGAAAAGAAGTAAAAAAGACTGATAGAAATGAGTAATTTTTTACAGCAGTTTGTGGAAGAAAATTAATGGAATGTCGATGCAGCAGCTTCGATATCTATCTAAGATGAAAGAAAGGGAAAGATAAAGAGAGAGAGAGAGAGAGAGAGAAAGGAAAAAAGAGAGAATGGAAGTTCTGTGTGTGTGAGAGAGAAGAAAGTACAAAGAGCAGGGCGGAGTCCCGGTCGATATCAACACGAGCTTTTCTATCTCCACCTCTCTCTCTCCCTCTCTCTCTCTCTCTGACCTTCCCTCTCTCTTTTTCTCTATTTATCTATCTATCCATCTATCTATTTATCTATCTATCTATCTATTTATCTATCTACCTATCTATCTACCAATCTATCTAACCCCATCTAACTATCTATCTATCTATCTATCTATCTATCTATCTATCTATCCATCTATTTATCTATCTATCTATCTATTTATCTATCTATCTATCTATTTATCTATCTATTTATCTGTCCTCATTCTTTCCTTTTTGCCAACTCCCAGAGGAATGAACATGAAAATTATAACGCTTTCTCTTTCTCCCTCTCTCTCTCTCTCTATTTCTCTTGTTGCGAAAATTTGCCGAATTGCCAAGATATGTTAGAGGATTGAAGTTGTTACAAAGTCAATGGTACTTCCAGTTCTCTGCTAACATTTTTAAGATCGATTGACTCATTTCGGTTTAGTCTACATTCTATCTTCATACCGATCGTTCGGTCACAGTGATTTTAACATTATTGTATGTAATTTAAATGTATATATTCTCAGATTTCCATTCGATCTCGATCTGTCATATTTTCTTAGTGTTCGAGATATTCCAAGATCGTCACCAACGAATTTTTTTTAAATGACTGACAGAATTCTGATAACTTGCACTTTTTTGTTTGCTGTACAGAAGCAAGAGATTTTCTATCGCTCACATTATTTTCATCTTTAACATCTTTTGTATAAGGTTGCCACTTACTACTTTGTTCCGTTTTTTCTGCTTGTTAACGGAAAATCTCTGTTTTTTACTATTAGTAACTTCACACACGCAAATATTATTTTTCATTTTATAAAAGTATCATTTCAAGTGTCATATTAATAAAATTTTGCTGCGCTCAGTTAGCTGTAGCATTTTTTGTAAAATTCCAAACCTGTCAGAAAATGAAAAATATTTTCGTCATATTTGCTTTTTTACTACCGAAAGGGCAAAAACGCGTCGCAAACTTGTGAAAAGATTTGTGCTGCATGAAGAACCAATGCTGTAGATGGTTCGACCTGCAGAAAGTAGTTTCGGAGATTCAGAAAGAGAAATTTTCGAAAATGTCGAAAAAGGTTTTCACATAAAAACATTAAAACTAACTAATCACAAAAAAATTTTATTTAAATGACAGCTAAAAAGTTACTTTAAGATAATATTTGTGTACATTAAGTTGATAACAGTATGAAACTGATATGTTTGAAGATCCTACATGGATTTCTTTAAAGCTGGGGATAAACGAAATGATAAAAAAACTCCTTTGTTTATAGACAAAAGACGTTATCAGAATTTCATTATTTCAAAAAATATCGTTGTCGATTTTGGATAATCTCGAAGGCAGCAAAAATGTGATGGTCGATGACTGGACTGAGCCTGAACAGAAAGGTGTGAATGAGTACATTTAAATGACATAAAATAATATTAAAATCATTGTGGCCAAACAATCGTAATAGAAACGGAACGGAGAACTGCAAAGTGTGATTCAATATTTATGAAAAGATTTTCGTTCTTTTTCTCTTTTACTTTTTTATTGCAAGTTTCCAACTGTAAAAACATATTATAATAGTGAAAATTGTAAGAAATTGCATTTGGCAAAGCTTGACAAAAAATATTAGGGAGATTCTTGAAAGTCGTCCTTGACAAAAAAGATGACAATATTTTTCCTCATTCTATTTCTTAAATTCAACGTGGACGTGGGTAGAATGTATCGTCGACGACTCTCGTGATTCGTTTCCTCGTCTACTTCTTATAGTTCGAAATGCTCCAAGAGACGTGTTATAAATCGTTCGAAAAGAATACCAATCGAATATCGCGAATTATCAAGGAAAGCCATTGGAAAAAAGGAAATGCACCAATATTGAGACTTTTGAAATATTCTTTTCCTTTTCTTTTTTGAAAAAAAAAAGAAAAATATTTATGAGATGGACAAACACATTCGATTTGCATAATATTTAATATCCGCGATTGTCTATATCAAATGTGGGCAACTTTTCCGCAGCGAGCTACACAGTCCTAATCATCAATCAATCTGTTTCCCTACCACTTAAGTCTATTAGTTATCACTTCGACCGAATATCCATAAGTAGACAGAAATAGAAGCTGCACAACTTACTAGCTACAGCGAGGTCAAATAGTAGAGAACGTCTTTTTCCACCTTACCGGAGCAGGCAAGAAAAGACGTAGCTCACGTGCTACCAGTTGTTTTCGTTAGATCTATATAAGAGAAAATTAAAATTAATTTTTAACGATAAACAACACATAATTGCCAATTAGTTGCTTTAAATACAATAAAATCGATTGTTGTAATTTAAAGAAAAGTCTTTTCGACGAATTTTATGGAATAGGACGAGAATCTTTTTAACGTTTAAGATCTGGTTTAAAAAGTAAGAATTGCGATTAATTACGACGTTGAAAAAAACAAGATGGAGAGACCATAAAAAAAAAGAAACAAGAATAAAAGCTCTTTGAGTATTTTACATTGCAACCTTCGTAAACTGATAAACTGCTTATAAAAAGGACATAAATGAATATTTAACGCAACGTAACGTTGTGCCACTTATTTTCGTAGATTTATAGTCTGATATAAAAACGCCAGATTTCAACATTGATTTCTTCAGAAAAAGAAATAATTCGGAACACAAAATAAAGAAGAAAAAATATTCTTGTCCCTTCAATACATATTCAAAATGACAATAAGGTCAATTACTTTAATTGACAGATTGATTAATAAAAAAAGCATCTAATTGACAATATAATTAATTAATATAATATATATAATATGTATAATATATACATAATATAAAAAAAATATATATCAGTATAATGTAATTGTATGTTTCTTACTATTAGATTGTTCATTTTGGTTACTATATATTATATTTGGTTTATACATATAATAGTATAATATTGAGCTAACAAATAAATAACGTTAGAATTTTCAATAAAAAATACCAATATTATTTAATGAAATATAAACTATTGAAACTTCCGACATTATATATTCCTATCAATCCAATAATATAAAAATAAAGAATTGCATATAACAAAAAAAAAATAATAATAAAATATACAAATATATTATTAAAATATACAAATATATAAAATATACAAATAAAATTTATGAAATAAATTTTAATAAAAGTTATATAAAATATACAAATAAAAAAATATACAAATAAAAAAATATACAAGAGAAAAAGAAGTTAGTCATCGTAACGAAAATTTTTGTACATTGAATAAATCGCTCGAAATTTCAAGCTAAACTTATGCATCCATATATGTATGTGAACGTGAACGTACTCTCTCTTTTTCTTTTTGTTTTCTTCTTTCTACTATTTTCTTTTTCAACGACATGTCGACCAGGAACAGTGATGTGCTAATAAATAATAACAGGCATTGTGTCAACAGAAATATTTGCTCGTCATGAAATTGTATGCATCGTCCAGAATGTATCGTTCTTACAACATTGCTCACGCACGTAAAAGAGAGAGAGAGACAGAGAGAGAGAGAGAGAGAAAGAGAGAGAGAGAGAGAGAGAGAGAGAAAGAAAGAGAGAGAAAGAACGAAAAAGAGAGAGGAATGAATATGTACTCTCATACGAGACTCTGTGATAACGATGCTTTTTATCAAACATTCGTTCTGAACACGATCGTTTCTGGAAAAACGAAACTTCCTTAAACTCGAAAGTCAAAAGAGTATTAGAAATTTCAAATGATTCGTTAGAATTTAAGAGATATCCATATAAAACTTGTTGAATTCGAAATGAAACGTTTTCGATAAGAAATAAAATGTATACTTTAAATCTTTTTTTCCATTCCCATGTGTCTCTTGTAGACTTCCTTTTTTTTGTCTGCCTATAGGATAAAATTCATACGATCAAAAACGCTTTATTGAACGCACAGAAAAGACCGTAAGAATCTAAGAAGAACATCTTCTTTCTCTCAAAACTCTTATAATCGGTTAGGAACTCCTTCAAAGACAGATAGGCAACATGTGCCATCTGTGGGTACAAGCCAGCCAATATCGAACTTTTGATCTGTCTTTTTTCTTTACACACTTCGATTTTTCTTATTGATTTTTTTGTACTTTTCATCTGCAGAAATGACTCGAGATTTTGGATTGTAGGTTAAATCTAAAAATTATTCTATGCTTACGATATTAAAACTTTAAAATCTATTTTTTACTTTTTGTTCTCATGTATACATTAAAAATTTTCTCAAGTTTCAAAATTTTGTTTACTAGAGGAAGTATGTATACTGTTGTTTACCTAAGTTATTCTAATTAAAATATGATATTTTATTATATAACGTCAATTCACAATTTATTATTAACTATTATTTATTATTTATTATTATTTATATAAATAATTAAAAAAAAAGATTAAATCATTTAAAAAAATTATTTGTTTTCCTAAAAAGGAATATACATATTGTTTCATAATTGATTCCAGTAAAAATATGGCATTTGATAATAAAAAATTGTAAAAGAACGTCATTCTAAAAAATATCGATTCACTTTCGACATAGAAGTTCAAAAGATTAATCAATTATGCCAAGAAAAACCAGTTCGAAAAAGTGTAACATCATTTCTGCGAGTAATTATATCCATAATATGTATACACGTATAGGTACTTACACACATAAATACATAATATAAACTAATGACCTTTCCGTTGTTCCGAAAAGCCCTTCAGGCATATTCATTACTAAGGCGGTTCACGGCTTGCAACGCATTAAATGGCAAAAACGAGGGAGAATATGATCGATGGTTGTTCGGTTGCGTTCCATTATGCTGATCCTTTTGCGACACACATCATAGACCTCCATTAAAAATACGTTCACCAATAGTATGAAAATTTTCTTATTCTCGCCAAATATTTCCGTATGCTATCGTCATTATAGTTTCATTGTAATGTTTCTTATAAAAAAAAAAAGGAAACGAACGTTTATTTCGCTGAATGCTATTATACGTTAGAGTAAGCAGTAAAAAGTTGTAAACTAAATATTTTTTTTCAATATTACATTTCGAAACATTATGAAAAGAATGTTAATATAGCAATCAATAATTTTACCGTTTAATTTTTAAATATAAAACGGTCTTTTCGATATTTTTATTTAATAAATATATCATATATAAAAATAATATTACATAAATATATTAAGCATTTATATTTTTATATATTTTAATAAACTAAAGTATTTTAATAAAGGAAATAATAATGTGTAATAAATTAGATACGATAGAGTAAATCGATATAATAATCTAATATTTATAATTTAATATTTAAATAAATATTTGTATATGTTTAAGTAATGATAATATCATTAATAAAAAGACATATCCAGAATAAAAAAAAAATATTCCTTTTTAATGAAATATATAATTGAATAAAACATACACGATTGAGCACGAATTGATATAATAATCGATTTAAAAATTAAATCATTAAAATATATAAGCAAAAATTTCGTATTAGTCCTTTCAACGATCAGCCGAGAATCAATATAAAAGCAATGTAATGGCTATACGTGACAGTTTCAAAATGAAAGGTGACCTCTCTTTCTCTCTCTCTCTCTCTCTCTCTCTCTCTCTCTCCTTTTCCTTCTCTTTTTTCCTCTCTCTCTCCTCGGTCTCTTTCTCTCTATCTGTCTCTCTTTTTTCATGACAAAGCGCAGCCACGAAAATCTTATTATCTTCGAAAATCTTTCTCTTCGATAAACTAAGCGATCTTATCAGGGGGCTGTATCGAAAGTACTTGCAAATATGTCGACTCGTGTCACCGACAATATTTTCTTTAATGCCATCGGACAAAGACCAATAAATTTAACACTTTAACTTTTTCCATATTTTATTTGTATATGATTTGTAGTTAAAAAACAAAATGATATGATGCTTTTTTAACATATGAACGAATTACAAATCATTACAATGAAAGAAATAAACAAACAATAAAAAGTATAGAAATAAAAGTGGAGAAAAAGATAAATAAAACAAATTGTTTAAACTCAATGAAGATACGTACGATAAATAAATAATGAATCAGTGGAGCTACATTGCATGAAACGCTTCAACAATCTGACTAAATCATTTTGAAATAACTTTAATATAATTTAGCACACTCTTTTTGAAGCCAACAAATGCATGTCAAAACCTGCTACGTCCATTTCATGGTAACAAAATGTTTGAAAGATACGAACGTGAACACGCAAGAAAAAGAGAGAAAGAATGATGCACTATGGAACATCGAATTGTCTGTTCATAGGACACATCCTGAAGATCGTTAACGTTTTATACACAACTGTTTATCAAAACTGTTTACGATTAAATGTGTCAATGTCGTCGTTTGAAATGATAATTACGTCTCAGACAAAACTTATTTGCGCAAACACAATTTATTTCGTTCGTATTTAAAAATTTATGTTGAATCGTATAATCCTAATTTGAGTTGTAAAATTTCCATATTCTCGACAGAGATAAATATTCGAAAGGACTTTCCAGATAATCCAAGATGGAAATATTTCAACTTGTTAGTATCATTATTAATTGAATTTGTCGTGTTTTGTATTGTCTTATCTTGTACATTAACAGACAAGATTCGTTTCGTCAATTATTATGCATCCTCTCGCGAAAAATGACGAGTACGAGCTTCAAATAAACGAAAGAAACATAGAAATCGTTGTTTTTCTCTGATTCTTGATTTATAAACTTGACACCAAAAGTACAACAGAGTATTTTTTACTTACAGAAAGAAAGTTAATCATAATCAGTAGAAAAAAATTGCTATCTTATATCAAAATCATCCTGTATTTCTATTTCTTCACATTTATGCATTTCTAAATATCTCAAAACAAAAATTATAAACGTAATTTTTATTGCCTTTTATCACTTCAACCTATAATATTGTCAAGTAATACTGTCAAGTATATTTTTGGTATTTATTTTCAATATTTGTGAATTAGTATTTGTAACATTTATAAATGCTTTTACTAATAAATAACTATTTTATAAAATAATTGTTTTACAAATTTATTTTATTTAATTATTTTTAAAAAATTTCTTTGAAGTTGGTTATCGAACATGCTATAATATTTTTAGAGTGATAAAGATTAATACAATTTAATGATCATATTTTACTAAACCTTAAGAATAATATTATAATTAAAAAAGAAAGAAAAATAAAGTTTAGTTTCGACTGTCTCGAGAGTAATCAGTCTAAATTCGAAGAAACATTCCTGATCCTCCCGCATCCAATAAAATTGGGATTAAATCGTACGGATCGAATTCCTCCTTCTTGTAATTACATTCGTTTCTTTTCTTCTCCTCGAATTTTCCATCAAATTGATCTTCTATGGATAACATTGCAGTTCTCGTGTTACAGAAAATTCAAGATCTAGGATCCATAAACATGGAGAAGGAGGAAAAGAAGAAACATCGATAGAAGCGTTAACAATAAAAATTAGATCGTAAGAAATGCACAAGACAGAGATAGAAATAGATAAATATATAAATATATAGTTAGATAAAGAGAGAGAAAAAAAAAAGAAAAAAAGAGAGAAAGATATAAATGTAATAGTCAATAATTGATAGGTCGCAGTAGTCGCACCGATTGTAACAGCAGTAACC